ATGGATGGATAGAATCAACAGAGATGCAATAGAGCTACGTGAAGTTAACTGGAAAGAAATAGCCCAAACTCAGATAGAGTCGGCTCATGAAGGCGACAAAATATTACATGGTCTATAAATATATATATATATATATATATATATATATATATATATATATATATATATATATATATATATATATATATATATATATACTAGCTGATGCACCCATCGTTGACGGGTGTATATGGGGGGAGGGTCCAAATTCAATTTCATAAAATTGGGTCGGGAGGGAGGAGTGGGGTTGTTTCTAGTGTTGCCCAAAATCGGTCTTGGTCTTGCACTTTGCAAGACCAAGACCAAGACAGCCTAACTGTTGCAAGACCAAGACCAGGACTAGTAAAAAAATCGATTTTTTTAAATAAAAATTTAGGCAATCCTATTTATGAATAAAAGTTAAGTGAAAATAGTTACTAATACTTGACAATCTCAGTTACTATGTGTTAATAATTGGTATAATCAATATACTTTTGCATTTAACTCCTCTAATTTTTCATTCGGGCTTAGCTAGGTTTATCTTATCTAAAAAATTACAGTAATATCTATATAGTAATAAGCTAATAAGTAACTGCAAGACTGTAGCGAGACTTGCGCAAGACCAAGACTGAGTTTGCAAGACCAAGACTGAGTTTGAAAGACCAAGACTCATCTCGGTCTCGCATTTGGGCAACACTAGTTGTTTCGAATTTTTTTATGGCAGGGCTTATGAAAGTCTAGGTTTTGCAATAGCCATAACAAAAACATTGTTATTCAACTATTTGTTTAGGTACCACACAACTAAATCGACCACCACCGAACTATTAAAATTTGTTAAGTATTTAATTATCATTCATGATGAAGAAAGGAGATTGTGGAGTCAATTAATTAATCAAAAAGAGTTGTAGTCTCTCCACTTTTTTAAATTCTCTTCAGTTTATCACTGGCAAAATAACATTGGACATTGAGTCACCTACATCCGTGTAAAATTTGAACTTGATCTGAATATTGTGGCGGGCGGAGTGAAATTTTGGGCGTTTTCCTCCCTGATTTCCGGCTAATCCGTTTGCTTAATCCTAAAAATGTATACAACAATGTTTGTTAGGCTCGGAAAGTTGAATTTAATGACGCCTTGAACGGGAAGATCGGACATAGTTGAAAAATGAGTGTGTTTTACGCGTTACAGATGTTAGGTATTTCCCGTTGAGTTGTGATAATTTTTCCATCAGTTGAGTAGTACAACTTTTAAATGTGGCTCTCAGTAGAGTAGGTTGGGATTAGAATCGAAGTAACTGCCTAACCGGGATCTCTAAACAAATTACTCAAGAATTCATAACTTTGGTTCTACTAAATATTTTGTTTTTATTTAAAGCCTATGTTTTAAGTCAAGCAAACCTTAATATAATGTTAAAATTTCAAAAATCTACATAAAGCCATTGCTGAGCTTACCTCTGACAAAATTTCGTTGCAATGCGGACATACAGACATACAACAATTTTTTAAAAAGTGGTTTTGATGTCTGCAATGTATGAAACGGAAAAATATCATAAAACGGGTTGATTATATTAAATGTAAAGATAAATTCTTTATTTTATTTATATAGATTTTGTAGTAACTTTTAATAATGTGAGATGATTAGTTATTTAAAATAAACCATATTAAAGGTACTTTAGAGAAAGATGTATATGAACATTGGCCATTTAAACCCTGTAAAGTGACAAGACCTAATTGATGTTAAATACCACTTAGTTATATAATGATACACTGAGTTTAATCAAAATCGTTTTTTGAGAAAAACGTGTTTCACCATTGATATAAAGTGGCACTTCCCGTTAGCTGAATATAAGGAAAAAGTTGCTGTCAGATCTAAGGTGATATAAGTTATATACATATCTACGTAATATCAGTTCCGTGCAACATTTCGTTTTTGAGCTAGACTGTTAATATATACAGAAGTTAAGCGTTGTCGGACTTCAGAAATAAAAAAAAAGAAGGAAAGGGATAGAGATGCAACACTCACGGCTTCTGAATAAACACTCCTTTATTCGTTCAATAATTCTCCTTATATGCAGTTAGCATGTTTGTTTACATTGCCAGATGGTATGAAGGCTGATATCGCCAGTCTCCGGTTTTTATCTCCCCCCCCCCACCAGTTTACGAACAGGATTTTCGGAAACTTAAATATTCCTAGATCGGAGCCAACGGTGACCAGCCTTAACACTTTACAATTGTTCTTACAGTATACCCTTAAAAGAGACTAAAATTCAATACAAAAGAAGCCTACGGATTCCCTTAACGTCCCGTGGTACCGCCATCCGTGTGATTGCCTTCACCTTTGCCGCATCCGGTCTGACCCCCTCGCTAGAGATAGTGTGGCCTAAAAAATTGATCCGCGTTTTTCCCAGGAGGGACTTCTCGCTTGACAATTTCAGCCCGAATTGTCGGAGCCTTTCGAATACTGACCTCAGATGTCCCACGTGTTCGGTTTCCGTTCTGCTAAAAATCAGCAGGTCATCCATATATACCTGACATACCGAGTCATCGATACTCCTCAAAAATTCGTCTATCAGACGCTGAAATGTTATGGGCGCATTCTTCAGACCAAACGGCATTCTGGTGAATTCATAATGCCCCCTTTCAAATGTAAACGCTGTTTTGTGTTGGTCTTCCGGCTACATCCGTATTTGGTGATATCCCGCCTTGAGGTCCAACGTGCTAAAGACCACGGCCCCACTCAACCTATCGAGTATATCTTCGAATCTGGGGATCGGGTACTTCTCATCTACCGTGTTATCGTTCAATTTACGATAGTCTGCTACCACCCTGCATTTTTCCTTATTATCCCCCGGCGCTGCCTTCTTTTTCACCGCCCACAGGGGACTATTGAATGGTGAGGTGCTATCAACTATGATCCCTTGTTCTTTTAGACTATCTAACTCCTCCCGAATATGCTGCCTCAACGCTTGCGGGTATCTTCTCTCTTTCACGTAAGTTACCCTATCCTGCTTCAGTGGGATTTCATGCACCGTCCTCCCTGTTACCCCCAATACCTCACCTTCCCTGAAGAAAATATCCCTAAACTCCTCCTGTAGCAACTTCCTCCAGTCCTCCACTCTGTTCACCGCTCCTATCCGCACCCTTCTTTCTCTCGCGACCCCTATACATCCGAACTTCCTCTTTCCCAGCCTAACACTCCAGGCTCCTCTACGGTTTCTAATGCTCGCCCCTAGCTGCCCTAACAAATCGCACCCTACTATGACCTGGTATTCCCGAGTCATGTTTTTTACTACGTGTACCTTCAGTTCGCCCTCTTTTTCTGCCCACCGATCAAGCCTAATTGTCGCTTCTCCCTCTACACTACAGGGACCACCCAGAGTGATTAGCTGGCAGTCGCATTTTTGTATCCGGAGTACCCTCTCGCTCCCGCACACTTTCCCTAACGCCCCTCTGGTCATAATAGTGCTCGAGCTCCCGGTGTCCACGAGGCACTTTATTCCCCCTTCTACCTCGATAATTGGCAACCAGCATGGCTTACCTCGGATATTGTTGCATGTTGCTGTGCGGTCGCCTCTCTGCTGCCACACTCCTCAGATGCCGCCCCGCTTCCTCCTTACCGCCGCCGCTCGTCGCTGCTCGGTCCGTTGGCTGCTCCTGCCTCCTTCGCCTCCACTGCTGCCTGGTTCGTCCGTCTCTGTTCCCGAAGTTCCCGACTCCTCGGTTGCCTCCTCCGAAGATCCGTCCTTCCGCTGCATCCTAGCTCGCCTTTTCATTTTCTGCACATTCACCTCCATCGGTTCGTCCTGAGGTCTCTCTCTCCTGCGAAACATGTATGGGCACTGTCTCGCTATGTGCCCTTCGGTCCCGCACTTGAAGCATCTAGTGCGCGGACACTGCGCTACTAAATGTCCCGGCTTCCCACACCCGTGACATTTTCTCTCTTCTCTCCGGGGACCATTCCAAGGCGTTGGCGTGCGCTTCTGCCAACGTGTCCCTCGGTAAGGGAGGGATCTCCTGGATCTGAGGGATCTGTGCTACCTGAGGGATTTGAGGTATCTGAGGGACCTGAGGCGTGATCTGAGGTACCTGGTTGATCTGAGGGATTTCCTTAGGTTGAGGAATTTCCGGTGCGCTTAATACTACCCGGTCTAATTAAGCCCTCGGTCGGCATCTCTCCTTTTTCTTATGGCTAAATAAAAAAAATAAACTTGGCAAAAAAAAATTACTTGTGCTCCCCTGACGTTGTCCCGGGTTTCGGCACCAGTTAAGCGTCGTCGGACTTCAGAAATAAAAAAAAAGAAGGAAAGGGAAAGAGATGCAACACTCACGGCTTCTGAATAAACACCCCTTTATTCGTTCAATAATTCTCCTTATATACAGTTAGCATGTTTGTTTACATTGCCAGATGGTATTAAGGCTGGTATCGCCAGTCTCCGGTCTTTATCTCAGACACACTAACACAGAGAATTTTTCGGGACTTGTTTATTTGGACTCTGGGTACCTCAAAACGTGTATTTCCATTAAAAACTCAGATTCGAAAACTTTCACGATCGCAATACTTTCTCTTACTATATATTACATAGGTAAATAAAAGTAATAACTGCTGTCACCTAGATGAACATTAAACTACCACCTCTAGATGAGGTATCCGACTGAAATTAATAATTAATATTTAACTAATAAGTGTGATGTTTTTTTGCGAGAGCTTGCAATAATGTAACAACATTTATTTTGATTTTTTATTTGATTTATTATATGTAAAATAAAATATTATACGTTCGCTAAAAATTGTTTATATAATAGAGAACATTTAAATTCTTATTTAGTTAATTATTCCTATATTTTATTTAAAAAATTATATTTAAATAAAATTTTAATGTAATTGTTGTCAAAGTGTTTCCACGTTTCCATAGATTTTTGTTAAAAATTTCTGATTATTAATAAAAATTATCACTCTTCCTCTTAAATTTGCCTTATATAGACGTATGAAAATGCTAAAAAAGGTTATCTTTTCAACCATCGCGATTGCTGGGGCTGGGACTGCCCTCTGGTTCCTCTACAAGAGGAGCAGCGCCAAAGAGAAGGAAGAATTAGGTATCGAGCCGCAAGTAAGTATCTTACCTGTTACAGCTATATTTTCTAAAACTGTTTAGTAATGTATATTTGAGTTTTAAATAAAGATAAATATAAATATAATACAATTTTTTTTAATCCAACCTTAAATATTATATTTTAAAATAAACTACACCAATTTTAGTTTATTCTTTTTTTTTCGATAACATTTCGATCCCTTCTGTTTTTATACGAACAATGACATCTTTTTGACTCATAGCATCAACACTCCAAGCCAGGGGAATGCCTAGAGCCTCAGATCTTTCTTCAGAACGGACATCAAGATCTTTCACTGAGTACCTTCAGCAATTGATTTTCTCATATCCAATAAAAGTTTTAAAAGAAGGATAATTTTGAACAAATAAGCATGTATCTTTTCAAAATAAACCTTCCATTGGTTCGCATTAGAGTCTACAAGCGATGGCTTGTAAATTTTCGATTACAACTCTCACCAAAACATGTGGTAAAAACTCCTTTTTATAAAATTATCAACATTCACCTCAAACTTCGTAAATAGCTTAATCTCGTGGTAACCGACAAATATTTTATTTACGAAAATTCACAGAATTGATGCGTTATCAATCTGGAGATCTGCAAACTTTTATTATTTAATTAGGTACTATAAACGGATGAATTCCAATTTATTTTCCATAATATGATATCAAAGTCGAATAAAAACAAGGTGGCCTTCAAAAATATGGATCCGTTTGGCGCGACCTCCACTCCGAAAAAATTAAAATAAGGAAGCTATATAGACAAAACTCAATATTTTTGTTGGCCACAGTTTTGTGATCGCATTATCTTCACGAGTTTTTATTACCTCATTAAATAAATAAAGTTTGCCGATCTGCATATTGAAAACGACCAAATTCTGAGAATTTTCGCAAATAAAATATTTGTAGGTTATGATGAGATGAATCTATTTACTAAGTTTCAGGCGGATGTTAATAATTTTGTAAAAAAAAAAATAAAGGTCTGTTTTTCTTACAGTTCATGAAATTATCTTTTTTAACAATACATGTTACAATATGTTAGCACAATTTTAAAATGTTATCAATTCACATATGTTATCATATAACTTTCCTTTTGGAGCTCGACTAAATTCAGTAATAAGAAAAATATATTTTATTTGGGCTATTTCTTTCCAGTTAGCTGCACGTAGCTCTATTGCATCTTCGTTGATTTTATCCATCCATTTGTTTTTTGCCCTTCCGCGTGGTCTTTTGTCTTCTTTTGATGCATTCATTATTACGTACAGCCTTCCAAATGGATATCTACAAACTTAATGCCCCACTCGTCTTAACCTCCACGCATTCATATCATGGGATATTGATTGGCCAGTTTCTGTAAACAGTTCTTTATTGTTCTTTCTTGTCCATGTGTTAGTAATCTAATGCCAGATCGCTCCGGATATCTTTCAATACTCTTTTCTAGAGTGCTGGTTAGTGTCCAGGTCTCAGAGCCATATATTAGAACTGGGTTTATCATAGCATTGTATACCTTTAATTTGAGATGTTTCGGGATTTCAATACCTTCGAAACATGTTTTAGGATGAAGATCGGGCTTGCTCCTTCCTTTTCTGAATCCAGCTCGGCGGTCGCCTATTATATTTTTGTAATACGGATATATCAGGTTTAGTAAAATATTGGTCATTTTATTGTAGGCATACGGAAGGAGGAGTGCTATGCCTCTGTAAGTACTACACACATCCATAGAGCCTTTCTTTAGGAGAGGACAGACTAGGCCCATGTTTCAACCCGTATCCTTTCCACTTCTTATATATATATATATATATATATATATATATATATATATATATACATATAAATTTTGATATTTTTTTATGACATATTGATATTGTTTTTCATTCCTCAGCCCAAGACTTCCACTGTCACTTCTTATATTTTCTGGATTAGGTATAATAGCTAAGCTCTTCAGTTGTCCACTCCATCTTTAAACAGTTGTTATGGTCTATCTCTGGAGCCTTTCTTGTTTTGAGCATTTCGGTTTTTTTTTTTTTTCTTTCTTCATTCCTCCCGCTGTACCTTAGGTCAACCCTATACAAGCTGTACGTCCAATTTACAAACTGAATAATTTTGCCGCGAATTTAATATGGGTTCGGTCACCAGTAATTTATACCGGATATACCTAAACTAATGGGCTACCTACAACTGGAGGGCTGTTCCCACCAAACAGGACTCCAGTAACTTCCTACCTACTTATTGTGGGCCTCTGTTACAGTTTATAAATAATACTATTTGTAAATCTTAGGATAACAATAAAAAATAATAACAACAATTAATAAGATCAAATAATACAATACTATAATCCATTCTTTATATATTTGGCATGTCACCGGTTTAATCTCTCCTATCTTGTCCTTTTTTTCTTGGAGTATCCAAATAGCATATTTCTTAAAGGCATCCAATATCTCGGGTGTCGCCAGAGGTCTTTCCAGGGACTGAGGAGTTCATTCCAACAAGGCTAGTGGGGCGCTAGTGTCCATCGGACATTCCAAAAGCACGTCTATAGCATCCTAAATAGCCCTGCAGCAACGATTAGAATTTGCTCTTCTTTGAAAAAAATGTAACTTTTCATTTATGTCTCCATGGTCTGTGAGGAGCTGAAAAGCCCAGAAATCCGTCTTCACCCAGTCATTCTTAATTCTTCTCCTAACATCTAGGAAGGACTCGTGGGTCAGTCTTAAAGTCTCGCAAACATCCCACCATCATTCAGAAAGGACTAGTTCTTCTATTCTGCCAGCCACCTCATCGTACCGTCCACTGGGGCGCACAAAGCATCTTGTCCCCACATTTGCTGGCAGTCCTCTATTTATTCTATACTTGGCTATAGAAATTTGTATTTTAAGGCCTGTTGGCAATTGTCCCACAATCAACCCCGTTCTACACGCTCCTGTCACCAGTAGGAGAGACCTTCTTCGAACTTGCTCCAGCACACTTATGTCTGACTGTCTCAGTTCCTGCCTCCAGGCTGGCGCCGCATAATAAGGCATTAGGCAAGAAAACAGCTTTATATATCGTTTCCCGGCAACTATATTTGAGACCCCAGGTGGTTCCTGCTATCGTTTTGAGGCAGCTGTAACGAAGAACAGTTCTGCTCTTTATCTCCTTTAGGTGGTTAGTGAAATTACACCTCTCGCCCAATAGTACTCCCAAGAACTTCACCTCCTGAGATGGTTTTATTAGAACATCTGCTAACTTTATTCTAGGAAGAAACCCCACCATGTTTCCCTTCAAAAATAGGAGTCGAGTCTTCTGAAAATTGAACGCTAGAAACATCGTAGAAGAGGCCTGCAAAATATTTAGAGGGTGAGTTAGCTCTAAGCAACAGCCTTAGCTGTTGATGTGAGCTGGTTGAAGGCAGGTTGTTGATGATGTCAACTCTCCTTCTTCCTTGAGAAGCGATGGTTACGTAAGTTGGCCTAGCAATGTCTAATGGTTTTTATGGGAGTCCCTTGACAATATCAGCCATCGTAGTTTTATTTGTAGAAGTTTTCTTAGACAACTCTGGTATAGCTTTAGAGAACCTCGTTGGCCTTTTCTGCCTTTCTCCTTTCCTGCTTTTTCTTAACTTCCTGGAAAGTTGCATTTCCCGTTGCCTAATTGCGGTGCTTCTCTGGCACATGTCAGCTCCCGAGCCGTCGCAGGTTCTGATTGTGGTTTTTGCTTGGCATTACTTCCCGCCTTAATTCCCTCAATAACCATAGCATCAGCCTTTTAGACTAACGCTTTCATTATAATGTAAATTTTAGGAGAAGCCTATGTATCCCTAACAACGCGTTGTACCACAGTCGATTTTTCTTGTTTTTTTTATCATGAATGTTTTCCATTCATTCATTATTGGCACAACAGACGCATGTAGCGGTCCTTGGCCTGCTCAATCTCCTTTGCCCAGTGATCCTTGTTGGCTGCGCACCTGATGGATATGACGTTTTTTCTCAAGTCTTCTTTTACATTATCTATCCATCTTGCCTTCGGTCTTCCCCTAGACCTAACTCCCTCTGGCTTCTCCTGATAAAGCCTTCTCGCTGTCCTCGCTTCTTCCATTCTCAGAACATGTCCTAACCATTTCATTCGTTGCACTCGAGCGAATTGGGAGATAGACAGATTATCGTACATTGATTATAGCTCCTTGTTTGTTCTCAAGCGGAGAACTCCTTCCTCCAGTTTAGGTCCTATTATCCGTCTTAGTATTTTCCTTTCAAATCGATCTATCCGTTCAGCAGATGCCTTTGTTAGAGTCCATGTTTCACACGCATATGTTGCAACTGGCCGAATAATCGTTCTGTATATCCTAAACTTCGTTGTACGACTTAACAATCTACTTTTCAGAAGGCTCGCTAGAGAAAAGTACGCTCTGTTGGCAGCCATTATTCTAGCTCCTATCTCCTCCTCTTCGTTATTGCTGTTGTTAATTATGGACCCGAGGTAGGTGAAGCTTGGTACAGTTTGAAAAGTGTGGTTTCCTAAGACATAATGCTGTGGTGGATGGACAAGCTTCTTCTTTCTAAAAACAAGGACTACCGCTCTCTTTATAATGTAAGATTCAGGAGAAGCTTATGTGTCCCTAATAATGCGTTATACCACAGTCGATTTTTCTTGTTTTTTTATCATGAATGTTTTCCATGATATCTGATAATTGTTGTATTTTACCATTTTTACCTTTCCACTCACGTTTCTATCTGTCTTATACCCTTAAATTTTCTTTAATTCAGCGAGCATTTTGCAGGAATCTTTCTTCTGCACGCTCCTTATTTGATCCTTCATGGGTATACTTTTCTTTGCCTCTTTGCTGAATGGCACATTGCAGCCTGTTCTTCCACCACTCCCTGTTCCATCATCAACCATCTTACAGCAATGTAACCAGACCGCAATTTACAATCATTACGTTGCAATAATGGGAGAGCAGGCTGATAAGGTTATATATTTATTATACAAAATACAACCTTAAGTTCGAACAATCTGTAAATTTCGGATCTCCAAAAAACTTCAAATATTAACTTACCATGTGATTCCACCCTAATCGGAAACCAAATCGTCTTTAAATCTTTCCTTTTGGTTAACTAAAACCTTCGTGGAAACCACAAGGCCAACCCTAACCTTTACTGTCCACACTCAATTTCTATAAAATCAACTAAATTAAAATAAAATCAAACTTAAAATATGCTAAAAAACTATAAAACATTGAAATAACAATAACTATAACAAACGATATAACGGAATTAACTTCAAAACTACAGAACACCAAAAACTCCAACCAGCCTTTATCATAGGTACATAACCTTCTCCAAAATTTTTCTATACTTACTAAAACTTTGGCATTTATTGCATCGTGTCACTGCCACCCAGCCTCTCACATTGCAAGATGCCCAATCCAGGAAAACTCTTCCCTCAGCCAATATTTCATTTCTCACCGGCAGGGACACTTCCGCCACCCAATGAACTGTCTCTCTTCCGCTTGGACCTGTCTTGAAAACCAGGCTCAAGTACTACTTGTTAGTATCTATCTTTTTTGCATTTATAGTCCAAAACAGTTCGCCTATCTTTTCTTGCTCCTAGTCACTTGGGACATCATATATAATATATATATTTTTTTAGATCCTCCCATTCCTCGCCTTTAAGACTATACGAGGCATTCCCGGGCCAGGGGGTGTGGGCGTAGATTTAAAAGACCGCCATCGGGACGCGATCTCGTGACTATTTCTGTAACATTTGTCATATATCAGGTTGCCGAGCAACGGTGGTGCCTCTCTCTCGCTCGTTCTCTCACTCTCTCTCTCCCACTCTCACACTCTCCCACACACCCTCTCTCCTAATCTCCCACTCTATCTATATCTGTATCTCCCTCGATTGCGAAAAAGAATCACTATTATATGCAGAAAGACAGTCTATTTGTTAAATTTTATTTCACTCCTGTGATATCGTGCCTCAATTCTTAAATGTGTTTGACAACGAATAAAGATTTATTAGTTATTTGTAATTTAAATAAAAATATATTGAAATATTGCCCAACAATATTATTGACAAACACACGTGCGCGCGCACGCAAACACACACTAATTTATTTATTTATGTAATACTTTTGTTTTCTTAAAAGCCTCCTGCATCAGAAGACGAAGCTCAGGAATTGGTAGAACAAAGGAACATCGCAGTTCAAGGTGAAACAAAACCGAGTGTAAAAAGAATGGTAATTATAAACTTCTTATTTTATAATTTAAAATAGAATTTTATTTATTTATTTAAACATAAAATAATCTGTCTCGTAGGCAATATTAAGTAATTCTTGGAAAATATAAAGCTAATGAATATAAACATTATATTTTATGTTATATATTTAATACTTATAAATTAAATGTAAAAGTAATCGTTATCATGATCTATTTATTTTTTTAGATTGATTTCATCGAGAGAAACAACACAGGAATGGCGAATTTGTGTAGAAATTCGTCAAGGAAACCAAATCAATTATGTTAAATATCATATTTTTATAATCGAAGTTTTTCAAAATTTTCAAAATTTCAAGTTTATAATATTGAAATATTTTTCCAAATGTTAGTATGTTTCCATTTCCATAAATATACCTTAATATTATGGCGCAGAAAAAAATCATTAATTAAAGTATTTTTGTTTCAGCTAATGATGAAATTTCTTCAGTTGATTCTCCGATTTCCTAAATTGATGAATAATCAATCATTGTTTTACATCTGTTTTCTTTCTCTACCAAATCCTTTGTAATTGCAGTTAGAGGTGGCGGCGGAAGTAAGGTAACATATTTAGTTAGCCTATTTAGTGGCGCGGAGAACGTATATTAACGACAATCGAGGGAAGATTGAGTAGTCGTTGGGGGTATTGAGGTAGATTTTTATTTAAGGTTAGTAGACTTTTCAAGGGCAATCTAAAGGTGGAGGGAGGTTGAAAACTAGCGGGGGGGGGTGGTGGGTTAGAGACGAGGTTTGTAGTCATCGTTCTTATTTTATGGTAATGTCTGTAGAGTGGGGGAAATCTATTTAGTGGCGCGGAGAACGCATATTAACGACAATCGAGGGAAGATTGAGTAGTCGTTGGGGGTATTGAGGTAGATTTTTATTTAAGGTTAGTAGACTTTTCAAGGGCAATCTAAAGGTGGAGGGAGGTTGAAAACTAGCGGGGGGGGGGGTGGGTTAGAGACGAGGTTTGTAGTCATCGTTCTTATTTTATGGTAATGTCTGTAGAGTGGGGGAAATCTATTTAGTGGCGCGGAGAACGCATATTAACGACAATCGAGGGAAGATTGAGTAGTCGTTGGGGGTATTGAGGTAGATTTTTATTTAAGGTTAGTAGACTTTTCAAGGGCAATCTAAAGGTGGAGGGAGGTTGAAAACTAGCGGGGGGGGTGGTGGGTTAGAGACGAGGTTTGTAGTCATCGTTCTTATTTTATGGTAATGTCTGTAGAGTGGGGGAAATCTATTTAGTGGCGCGGAGAACGCATATTAACGACAATCGAGGGAAGATTGAGTAGTCGTTGGGGTATTGAGGTAGATTTTTATTTAAGGTTAGTAGACTTTTCAAGGGCAATCTAAAGGTGGAGGGAGGTTGAAAACTAGCGGGGGGGGGTGGTGGGTTAGAGACGAGGTTTGTAGTCATCGTTCTTATTTTATGGTAATGTCTGTAGAGTGGGGGAAATCTATTTAGTGGCGCGGAGAACGCATATTAACGACAATCGAGGGAAGATTGAGTAGTCGTTGGGGGTATTGAGGTAGATTTTTATTTAAGGTTAGTAGACTTTTCAAGGGCAATCTAAAGGTGGAGGGAGGTTGAAAACTAGCGGGGGGGGTGGTGGGTTAGAGACGAGGTTTGTAGTCATCGTTCTTATTTTATGGTAATGTCTGTAGAGTGGGGGAAATCTATTTAGTGGCGCGGAGAACGCATATTAACGACAATCGAGGGAAGATTGAGTAGTCGTTGGGGGTATTGAGGTAGATTTTTATTTAAGGTTAGTAGACTTTTCAAGGGCAATCTAAAGGTGGAGGGAGGTTGAAAACTAGCGGGGGGAGTGGTGGGTTAGAGACGAGGTTTGTAGTCATCGTTCTTATTTTATGGTAATGTCTGTAGAGTGGGGGAAATCTATTTAGTGGCGCGGAGAACGCATATTAACGACAATCGAGGGAAGATTGAGTAGTCGTTGGGGGTATTGAGGTAGATTTTTATTTAAGGTTAGTAGACTTTTCAAGGGCAATCTAAAGGTGGAGGGAGGTTGAAAACTAGCGGGGGGGGGTGGTGGGTTAGAGACGAGGTTTGTAGTCATCGTTCTTATTTTATGGTAATGTCTGTAGAGTGGGGGAAATCTATTTAGTGGCGCGGAGAACGCATATTAACGACAATCGAGGGAAGATTGAGTAGTCGTTGGGGGTATTGAGGTAGATTTTTATTTAAGGTTAGTAGACTTTTCAAGGGCAATCTAAAGGTGGAGGGAGGTTGAAAACTAGCGGGGGGAGTGGTGGGTTAGAGACGAGGTTTGTAGTCATCGTTCTTATTTTATGGTAATGTCTGTAGAGTGGGGGAAATCTATTTAGTGGCGCGGAGAACGCATATTAACGACAATCGAGGGAAGATTGAGTAGTCGTTGGGGGTATTGAGGTAGATTTTTATTTAAGGTTAGTAGACTTTTCAAGGGCAATCTAAAGGTGGAGGGAGGTTGAAAACTAGCGGGGGGGGGTGGTGGGTTAGAGACGAGGTTTGTAGTCATCGTTCTTATTTTATGGTAATGTCTGTAGAGTGGGGGAAATCTATTTAGTGGCGCGGAGAACGCATATTAACGACAATCGAGGGAAGATTGAGTAGTCGTTGGGGGTATTGAGGTAGATTTTTATTTAAGGTTAGTAGACTTTTCAAGGGCAATCTAAAGGTGGAGGGAGGTTGAAAACTAGCGGGGGGGGGTGGTGGGTTAGAGACGAGGTTTGTAGTCATCGTTCTTATTTTATGGTAATGTCTGTAGAGTGGGGGAAATCTATTTAGTGGCGCGGAGAACGCATATTAACGACAATCGAGGGAAGATTGAGTAGTCGTTGGGGGTATTGAGGTAGATTTTTATTTAAGGTTAGTAGACTTTTCAAGGGCAATCTAAAGGTGGAGGGAGGTTGAAAACTAGCGGGGGGGGTGGTGGGTTAGAGACGAGGTTTGTAGTCATCGTTCTTATTTTATGGTAATGTCTGTAGAGTGGGGGAAATCTATTTAGTGGCGCGGAGAACGCATATTAACGACAATCGAGGGAAGATTGAGTAGTCGTTGGGGGTATTGAGGTAGATTTTTATTTAAGGTTAGTAGACTTTTCAAGGGCAATCTAAAGGTGGAGGGAGGTTGAAAACTAGCGGGGGGGGGGTGGTGGGTTAGAGACGAGGTTTGTAGTCATCGTTCTTATTTTATGGTAATGTCTGTAGAGTGGGGGAAATCTATTTAGTGGCGCGGAGAACACATATTAACGACAATCGAGGGAAGATTGAGTAGTCGTTGGGGGTATTGAGGTAGATGTATTATTTAAGGTTAGTATACTTTTCAAGGGCAATCTAAAGGTGGAGGGGGGTTGATAACTAGCGGGGGAGGTGGTGGGCTAGAGACGAGTTTTGTAGTCAAAGTTCTTATTTTAGAGTAATGAATGTAGAGTGGGGGGAAGAAGCGTAAGTCTTAAATCTGGTATGTTGTTCTGATCAAAGATTAACTCTTATTTTATTTGTGAACCTTGTACCAATTCTTAATAAATCATTGATTTACATCCTTTTTCTTTCTGTACCATATCCTTTGTGATTGCAGTTAGAGGTGGCGGCGGAAGTAAGGTAATATATTTAGTTAGCCTATTTAGTGGCGCGGAGAACGCATATTAACGGCAATCGAGGGAAGACTTGAGTCGTCGTTGGGGGTATTGAGGTAGATATTTTATTTAAGGTTAGTAGAGTTTTTTTAAGGCATATGTGGGAGAAAGACGTTATTTTAGGTGTGTATTGGAGACATAGGTTCTTTGAAGCATAAGTTGAAAAAATATTTTCTTTGAGATGTATTTTTATATTAGAGAAGTCATTGAGGGATTTTAAGAAATTCGTAGATTGAAAGAAGAGAAGAATCTTGAAAGTACTCTACACTTAAGATTTTTCAAGGGCAATCGAGAGGGGAAGAGTGGTTGAAAAATAGTTTTGGGGGGGGGTGGTGGTTGGTTTAGAGACGAGTTTTGTAGTCATCGTTGTTATTTTAGGGTAATGTCAGTATAGTGGGGGAAATCTGTTTAAACTATTTAAAAAAAAATAGTGTGGTGGCTTAGATTATCTTTTTTTCTTCATTCATACTTAAATAAGGTACAAATTTAATAGGAGGAGTCAAATTTCTGTCGTAGAGAAGCGGCGATACCATCGCCCGGTCGCGAGGCTTCAATTAGACACTGGTCCTCCAGCTTGGAAGAGGTTACAGTACACTGACACTCAGACAGTACACAAGACCCCGCACACCACACACACCCGACAGCCACAGACAAAGGTCATCATCAGTACACACCCAAGGGTCACCTCCCCTTGGTGGCCGCCCCGGACGGGGGAGCAGGTCAGGATGCTCTGAGAAGACAGCCTCTTCACTTGACTCGGGGGCAGTGGGTCGATAACCCACTCCTCTTAAGACATTATATTAATGATAGTGAATGATCCTCCAAATCAGTCTCAATTTTATTGTATCACTTGAAGAAGATTTCAATGCTTTGCTCCGTATTTATTTACAAAACAGTACGACAGTCAATTATTGGAAAGAGGCGAAAAAGACGAACGGCATCTAGGTGGGTATATACAGATTAGAATAGCAGAGAATATGGTGCAAAGCAATGAAAGCTTCTTGAAGTGATATAATAAACTTGATGTTGATTTGAATGGCAATTCACTATCATTGAAGAATCAATTATTCATGGCAGTAGACAACTGTTGCCTGTTAGAAGATATTGTTGAAGAGAAGTTGTTTAGAGATTGTCATTGGGAGTACGAAGTAAAAATGTGTAAATTATAAATTTCAACAATATAATTTATTTATTTTTACTTTCCATTTGTAATTATTGCAATCCCCAACCAACTTCTCTTTAACAATTAGTTATTTAGTCTACCTCATCATTATCATCTTCCTTGGCTGGCTCAAGAGTTGCCCTCCACCTTTCTCTTTCCTCAGCAGTCGTCAACCAGTTTATGATTCCAAGAATTCTGGCATCGACACTTACTACACCTATCCATCTCAACTTCGGTCTATCCACTTTTCTTATATTACTCTGATCTATGCTGAGAAGATTCTTTTTTGGAGTTGAGGTCTAGTTCATCCGTAATGGTATTCGTTTAGGGTCGTTAAAGTCCATGTTTCACACCCTTTAAGAGGTCATAATGGCGTCTTTTTGTGACAACAAATCTTTCCTTTATCACGTATCATTATTCTTGCACTCTTACATGGCAGCTGGTGTCCGTCTGCTATATTTTTTTATT